ATTTAATACCCAGGAGCAGAGAAGAAGATTTTCAGAAAATTCATGTATTTTCACTATATAATCTATAGAGCCCTGCATTACACTAGAACCCCTGACCCTGGGGCCATAAAATTCACAATTTTGGTAGGGGCACTCTTGCTCATCATAATTATGCACTTAGTTAGTTTATTTAATACCCAGGAGCAGAGAAGAAGATTTTCAAAGAATTTATGTATTTTCACTTTGTAATCTATAGAACCCTAACACCAGAACCCCTGACCCTGGGGCCATAAAATTCACAATTTTGGTAGAGGCACTCTTGCTCATCATAACTATGCACTTAGTTAGTTTATTTAATACCCAGGAGCAGAGAAGAAGATTTTCAAAGAATTCATGAAATTTCACTATATACTTATTTAGCCCCACCCTAACACCAGAACCCCTGACCCCGGGGCCATGAATTTCAAAATTTTGGTAGAGGACTCAATGCTGATTACAATCATGCAAACAGTTTGACTGCTTGATGTCCAGGAGTAAAGAAGAAGATTTTTAAAGATTGCACTAATTTTAGTGGTTTTTGCCCCATCCCCCAGGCCCCAGGGGGGCAGGGCCCATGAAATTCACAATTTTTGTTCCCCTTCACCCATAGATGCTATATGCCAAATTTGGTTGAAATTGGTTCAGTGGTTTCGGAGAAGAAGCTGAAAATGTTCAAATGTTAACGCACGACGCACGACGCACGACGCACGACGAACGACGACGGACGAAAAGTGATAGCAATAGGTCACCTGAGTTTACTCAGGTGACCTAAAAACCGAATACTGTACTGTTTCGATTTCCCGGAATAGATACGAACGTGATTTGAGGGCTATAACTCTTAAAATATAAATGATTAATGTTAGAATTAACGAAATAAATGTTATAATCCACTGAACAATAATTTTGACTTTAAAAAATACAATTCAATACAGCATACAGTGTATGAATATATCTATATCAAAAATACAATGCAATATAGCATATTAATATTCGTAGTATATAAGTGACATAAATAGCATAAATATTTTAATTGGGGGGAAAGTATTCACATATTCGAACCATGAAAAATGTTAGCCTGTAAATGGATATATAAACATAATGTCAATAAAATTTTAAAACTTGATTGTTTCATGTTTTTGTTGGGCAAGTGAATTTTTTAGGCGGGCAAGTGAAATTTATTGTATCACTTGCCCTTGGGCAAGTGAGTAATAAAAAAAATTCTAGACCCCTGTGGATGACAGAAAAATCCACACTGCTTAAAATTTTATACATATCTTCAAGTGGACATCTCATACTGTATAAAATTTATAAAAGTATAAATGATAAGAAATGTTTCAAGATTTGAATAAATTTGAATCTACACTACATGAGGATGATTCCACATGAGTTTCATCTTTCCTGGTCCAGTGGTTCTTGAGAAGAAGATTTTTAAAGATTTCCCCCATATCCACCTATGTAAAACTTTGATCGGCCATTGTGGCCCTACCCTACTGGAGGGGTCATGATTTGAACAAACTTAAATCTACACTAAGTGAGGATGATTCCACATGAATTTCATCTTTCCTGGCCCAGTGGTTCTTGAGAAGAAGATTTTTATAGATTTTCCCTATATACTCTTATGTAAAACTTTGATCAGCCATTGTGGCCCCATCCTACCCCGGGGGGTCATGATTTGAAAAAAACTTGAATCTACACAACCTGAGGATGCTTCCACATAAGTTTCATTTTTCCTAGCCCAGTGGTTCTGGAGAAGAAGATTTTTTAAAGATGCCATTAATTTTTCATTAATTCATAATTATCTCCCCTTGGAAGAGGGCTTGGCCCTTCATTTGAACAAAATTGAATCCGCATCAACTAAGGATACTTTGTGGCAAGTTTGGTTGAAATTGGCCTAGTGGTTCTTGAGGAGAAGATGAAAATGAATGAAAAAAACCAGTGGGGCCAAAATGGCCGATTAAAATTTTACAAAAGAATATATAGGAAAAATCTTCTCAAGATCCAAAGGGGCAGGAAAGATGAAAATCATATGGAATCATCGTCATGTAGTGTACATTCAAGTTTGTTCAAATCATGACCCGAGGGGGTCCGGGGGGGCCACAATGGCGGATGAAAGTTTTACATAGGAATATATAGGAAAAAACTTAAAAAATCTTCTTCTCAAGAACCACTGGACCAGAAAAGCTGAAGCTTATGTGGAAACATCCTACGGTAGTGTAGTTTCTGAATTGTTCAAATCATGACCCCGGGGGTAGGGCGGGGCCACAATAGGGAATCCAAGTTTTACAGAGAAATATATATAGGAAAAAACTTTAAATATCTTGTTGTCAAGAACCACTGGGCAAGAAAAGCTGAAACTTATGTGGAAGTATCCTGGAATAATGTTGATTCTAAATTGTCCAAATCCTGACCCCTGGAGGTAGGGCGGGATATAATGGGGAATTCAAGTTTCACATTGAAATATATATGGAAAAATCTTTGAAAATCTTCTGTATATAAATCATGACCCCTGGGTTAGTGTGGGGTCAAAAGTGGTATTACAAAGGGGGGAAATCTGTTAAAGAACAGCATGGCCAAAGTTTCTGAGGTGAGTGATGTGGCCCATGGGCCTCTTGTTATACTTATTTTGATGTTCTATGTCTTCTATTTTCTTCATGTATTTTATAAAACATAGTGTAAAAGGCTTTTGCTATCATTGCAAGACATCACAAATCACTTCTAATTTCATATCATGCTAATAAGCGTTGGTATCTAAGGCTCGATTCAAGAAAATTTTACTTCTCTAAAACTGTATTTAGCCTTTGGCTCAGGTGAGCAAAAAATCGAATGTTTACCATCCAGATTTCCTAGGGGGCCATCTCAAAAGTTGTCAAATTTTACTTTTGGACACTATGGGAATTTGTTGGAAAAGCACCAAATTACCTTATTTTTTCCATATTTTTTGTATTTCTGCCCAAGAGATCTCTTTTTCATTCAAGTAGATGAAAGTCATTGTAACAAGAGGCCCATGGGCCACATCGCTCACTTGAGAAGCTTTGACCATGCTGTTCTTCACCAGATTTCCCCCTTGTAATACATATTGTGACCCCACCCTACCCCACTGATCATAATTTGGACAATTTGAAATTTATACTATCCCAGGAAGCTTCCACATAAGTTTCAGCTATTCTGACTCAGTAGTTCTTCAGAAGAAGATATCTAAAGATTTTTTCTATATATTTCTATATAAAACTTTCATTACCCATGGTGGCCCCGCCCTACCCCCGGGGTCATGATTTGAACAATTTAGAATCTACATTACCCCAGGATGCTTTCACACAAGTTTCAGCTTTTCTGGCCCAGTGGTTCTTCAGAAGAAGATATTTAAAGATTTTTCTTATATACTGTAAACCAACTTTTATTCACGACGACTTTATTTCGCGATCTGTTCGTAAATTGGCGTAAATTTGTTCGGGATGATTAATTTTCGCATTCAAGCCTTTCTTTGATCTGTTGTTAATACAACAAAGACTTTCAGGACCAGTTCGCTGCAAAAGTTATTCGCGATGACGATGCTCTCATGAACCTCACGAAAATTTCTCGCACACGAATAAAAGTTGGTTTACAGTTTTTCTATGTAAAACTTTCATTCCCCATTGTGGCCCCTGCCCTACCCCCGGTGGTCATGATTTGAACAATTTAGAATCTACACTATCCCAGGATACTTCCACATAAGTTTCAGCTTCTCTGGCCCAGTGGTTCTTGAGAAGAAGATTTTCAAAGTTTTTTCCTCTACATTTCTATGTAAAACTTTGATTCCCCATTGTGGCCCTGCCCGTTTCAGCTTTTCTGGCCCATGGGTTCTTCATCAGAAGATTTTTTAATGATCCCACCCTATTTTTGTCTTTTCTTGATTATCTCCCCTTGTGAGGGGATTTGGCCCTTCATTTTAACAATTTTAATACCTCTTCACCCAAGGATGCTTTGTACCAAGTTTGGTCGAAATTTGCCAAGTGGTTCTTTAGAAGTCGAAAATGTGAAGTTTACAGACGGACGGACAGAAGACAGACAAAATGTGATCAGAAAAGCTCACTTGAGCCTTATATAACGGCTCAGGTGAGCTAAAAAGTCACCAAGCATGGTGGTCCGTATTTATACTGGTGATGTCACATGGGTTTTAATTTATTTGAAAAGCGAGCCCACATGTTATTAGTCAAGAAATTCTTGCGATTAAGTGATTAGCAATTCTGTAATCCAATGATATTCTTAGTAAATAATATATCATCATGAAATAAATTCTAAAATGAAGCCAAGTTATTGAAAGGAGCAGGTTATAAAAAGTAAAGAAGGTTAAGTTTGGTGTGGTTTCAGACTAAATGTTAGTAACTTAACTGGTTTTACTCATTTAAGTTAATGCCAAACCCTGATAAGGTAACAATGACCAAACTAGTCCGAAATATCTCACGTTTTTCAGACCTTTTCACAATTTTGATATTTTAAATGCCAGAAACTCTGCGTCAGAACTCTGGTCAGAACCGCCACTATAAAAACTTTACCATCTCCAACTGGAGCCTATTTTCATTACTTGCAAATCAATTTAATGCCGAACTTGCAATTCATCAATAGAAAAATGCCTATAGTATTCACCAGTATTGATGGAAAGAAAATGTCACCCCACATTTTGATACAGATCTTGCAAGATTTTAAAAATGCACAAAATGATCGACGACAAAATTGATAAATATATTCACCGGACTGTTTATTTTATAAACTAACAATTTAAACGATGCTGGTGAGTACTAAAGAAATTATACCATTGATAAATTCAGCATTTAACTTCCTTTGCAAGTATCGAAAATCAGCCCAAGAAAGCCGTCTCCAGATGGAGATTGCGAATTCCCAGTTATCGTAATGGTGCCGGTTCTGACAATTTCCTGGCTGTAAAATATCAAAATCGAGAAAAAATCTAGAAAATGTCAGATATTTTGAACTATGACCAAACTTACGTTAAAAACTGATTGCTGTTGTTGAGACTGCTCTCTAAAGAGTGGCTACCACTCAACAGACTTGCTGTGTAAATGGGTCTTCCTCGTTCTGGGCATTCTGTTGCATTACTTGATTCCAGTTCAAAAGAAATGCCTTCTTTTTGCTGAAGTGAGGACAACTCCACTACAAACAAACACAAAACAAGAGGTCAATGGGACACATCACTCACCTGAGCTAGGAAAAGCAAAAATCAGTTCAGAATTGAGAAGTTATAAAATAAATGTGTTTCCGATATTTGATCATCTATTGACCCAGAGGTCTTGCCTATACCTACAGGGAAATAAGTATACCTGTATACATTTGAAACTCTTTTGAATTAAAAAGAAAGGCTTAGATGTTCTTGAGAAGAATTTTTTTTGGATATATCTCCTCTTTTTTCTATAAGTTTGATCACTCTTGTGCACCCAAGGGTCATGATTTGTACATACCCATGCAAGTCTTCACTACCTGATGATACTTTAATACCGATATAACTAATCAAAAATTTGTTGTTTGTGAAAAAAATCTTATATATTCTTTCTATAACTTTGATCCGCTCTTGTGGTCCCTCATCCCTACCTTGAGAGGTCATGATTTGAACAAACCCAAATCTACACTACCATATAATCCCTGCCATTTTAAGTGCCCCAGACCTTAGAAAATTATGAAAAGGGGACGGTTATTTCAGTATTCTCTTTATGATATTTACTTTTATGCCAGGTTATATTGAAATCAGATCCAAACTGTAGGAGGAATAGCATTTTGAAAGAATTCACAGAAATTTCTATTTTTAGTTACCACAGCAATAAATTTTGAATAGTGACCTGGCTTTCATAATTCTAAGACAGAAGCACTGTTGCGGAAGTATATTAAATATTATGCAATATATATATTTATTATATAGTCTATTTATAGTCCCTATATAATCTATACAAATGTAAACAGTTCATAACACTACATATTCACTGGATTTTAGGCCGTATTCACCGGAGGGTCAATGCGCGTGCAACGGCATTGTGATGTCACAATCAAAATATCAAACAACGCTGTAAACAATGGTTGCAATGGCCGCAGCGAGCTACGTATCAGAGCAGAAAAACAATTATTCAAACCTATTTCAGGATTATTTTTTAACATTTGGACGTCTTACACATAGCAAAACTCGGAAAGGAAAACACGGAGGTTACAAAGAGTAATCTGGAGTTGTTTTTTTTTTATTTTCAACAATGGAAGATCGCAAATGAAAATGGTGTCGTCATACAGCCTTCAATGTCTTATAGTGTATTTATTCAAATCCCGACTATATAAAACAATTATGGACTCTTTTGGTGTTGAATATGGTTTGTTATATTCAACACCAAAAGAGTCCATAATTGTATAATATTGCAGCAATAAATTTTTAATAGTGACCTGCCATTCATAATTCTAAGACAGAAGCACTGTTGCAGAAGTATATACAAGTACATTTAGAGCAGAGGTCCTAATAGTGTAATATTTAACGCATTGGATTTTAATGCTGGTGATTTTACATAGAAGACCTTCTCATTACTTGTGATGAGTTTCTAGTTCTTTTGATATCTACATTTTGCTGCTATCAATTTTGAATTTCTTCTTGTATGTATTTCTCTTTACTTGTATGCCCTAATTGGCCCAAAATTGGTGTTAATAAATCTGAATTATCTTATCCATAGTAACAGCAATCTTAAGTAAGCTAGTACAAACCTGCAGAGTGGCTCCTTCCAAATCCTTTGGGATATTCTCCTGAGCTAATACTTTGTTTATTGTCATGAAGAGCATTTTTGGGATCTGTAAAAAAGAAATTTTCATGTAATTGCTTTGAACTCTTGATAAGATTTGACAGGGTAAATCCATAGTGCTATCAACAAAAGGCCTATAGGTCTTGATTTAATGTACCAAAGCACAGACACAAAGATTTTTCAGAGAATTAATGCATTTTCACTACACATGCACATGTATTTCAAATACAGTCCCATCCCTATCTAAGAAGCCCTGACCCTGGGTGATTTCAGTTTCAAGATTTTTGTATAAAATGAATGTATTGAACAAAATGTAATTCATTTACGACATCTGCAGTGTTAAATTACATCAATCATTTATGACAGTGAATTTTTGGTCATATGACAAACATGTTTATATACTAGCTAAGGATTGTCCTAGATATACGTGAACTTTTGAAATTCAAACTATACTCGAACTATATTCGTAACATTTTTTCCAGAGCCCAGTGTTAATTATTATTTTTTGTAAACCTTTCTGCTTCATACACACTAGAATGTGATAGAAATTTTATTTTATGCATGCTTTAAAAAAGACATATATCCCACTGTGTACTAAAAAGTAACAATTAAGTCTTGCAACTTCATTTGCCCCTTTCCTTTTTTTCCTTTTAAAAGTAATCACTGACAATAAAACATTTTTACCTGTATCCTTAATAAATGGACATTAAAGTTTAATTAATAGATGGAGTGGGGGGGGGGTCTGGTCAGAAAGTCCCAAATTTTTGTCGTGTTTTACTATAAAAAATGTAAACTGAAAGTCTAATGTTGTAATATATAAAGAAATTTGGTTGCGAAAACAAATGAAACCCACCCCCTTTACAAAATAGGATTTTCGGGTTCGGAGATATATTTCCTTTCTTTTTCAAAAACTTTCAGGTTATCCATATAAATACTTTTTCCGAGGTTGATCAACCTCCCACGTTTAAAAACCATACTTCATCCTGTATCCTATTGAGTTGTTCAATTACATGTACATGTATATGTAAAACAAACGTTATAATTACAGCTCTTTTTCCCCTTCAATCCCCTCTTTGAAAAACCCTTGAACACCCCCCCCCCCTTAAAAAAATTCTAGATCCGTGCCTCTATACCGACCAATAATGTGCATGTTACTACTGCTTCATACATGCACTCATTATAAAGTTAAAATGTCCTTTTTCAGAACGCATTAATTAGTAATTTACATGACTGTACACATGTTTCGAAAATACATTTTGTAACTTAATGATTGACATATTTAAACTAAACTTCAGAAAGTGTTAGGTAAATAAGGTATGATTATCGACTTAAAAAAGAAATTGATTTCTCATCAAAAGAAATGGTATATATCTTAAATTTGCGCAGTTTCCATGTTCTATCCTTTACCGAATTCAAAGTCTATCAATTTCTTTGAAGTGATTATTACTCGGCATATCATTGGTTGAGATAAGGATTATTGCAGTTAGACTAACACTGAAAACTTATAATAAATGTAAAATATGGAAATAAATATTAAATGCGGCAAAATCTACTGAACAGGCAGAGATGATAATCCGATAAATTTTATTAATTAAAGTAGTGATCAACTTACACGCTGAAATCAGCAGCCGAATTTTTGGCAAATGAAATCTACTAACTTCAGTACAAATATTACTTCATTCTGAGATATATCGTATGAAAAATGAAAAAAAACAGTTTGCGAAAACATATAGATATTTAGCGATTTTAGAAATGGTTTGTTACCCCCTCCCCCCCCCCCCCCCCCCTTCGAAAGTGATACGAATGAGCTGATTAAAACTTTATCAGAAATCTGCAAATTTATGTTATGGTTTTAAAAATCTAAATACATGCTTAATTATTTGTGTCTGAAAAAGGATAATTAAATTAACAAAGTACACATGTAAGTTTATAATCATTATTGTAGTGAATCCTGGAAGATGAATTTCGTTTGATATCAGTTGAGTGTGTTATACACTTGCTGTGATCAGAGCTAAAGAATTTGAAAAGTGTGATAAACATACAGCGCCCCTGGCCCACTGGCAGAGACCCAATATATTTTTTAAACAGGTGTGAACTCAGAACTGACCATAAGAATGTTTCAAATCACTAGACAAATTCTTTCCGCGTAAATAGACTTTCAAGGTCACCTAGCGTCATGCGATTTTGATTGGCAGGTGATGCATCCTCCTTTGCTAGCTATACGTGTAGGCCAAAAATGGCATAATTGTTCTTCCTTTTGCTCAATTGTCCATCCTTGTCTCAAATGTGTCATTGTACATAAAGCAACTATTACTAAATGGTAAATAAAAACACTCGTCATTTACCTAATGTGGACAATGTCACATCTTTATATTTGGATTCATCAAGCTTCTTATCACAGTTGTTTGGGAAAGTTTTTTCTTCTTTCTTTAATCCCAGTAAATGTGAGCGTGCCATATACATATTTGCAGAATTACGTTCAATACTTTTAACTATCACAGACTACAAAAAAGAAAAAAAAACATGAAATCATACTAGAATATAAGTTTAGAGTGGGTTTTATTTAGCTTAATTTACAAGAGGCCTTCAATCACGTACTCTTCTAAGAGCCAAATATAGCTTTCAGAAAAAATCCTTTAGTATGTACAAAGGTCTACCTCATGTAAAACCAATGATGTTTGTTGCATTTGATGGCTACATTACTGATATCTTTGGTCCATATCTAGCAAATGGCAAAAACAATGATGCTAGTATTTTGAACAACAGGCCCATGGGCCACATCACTCACCTGAGCACTGTGGCTAGGAAAAGTAGAAATTGGTTTATTATTGAAAAGTTTAAATCCAAAAGTAGTCCCATGACCAATCATGGCTTTGCTATTCTTGAGAAGAAGATTTTTAAAGAATTTCCCTATATTTTGACAATATTTTTGGTTTTAAAGGTTTTGTAGCTGTTAATCAAAAGGGTTGTACTAAAATCCTGGGGAAAAAATTCTTCTTTCTTTTCCCTATATTTTCTCAAAATAACTGATAGCAAGCATTTTCATTGCTAATGCTGGAAATTATCAACATAAAGAATCAAAGTACTGAAAGTACTGATAGACGGAGGCTTGGAATGGGCATGTTTGTTTGTCTCATTGGGAATTTTTTATTCATATTCTGACCCCAACATTTGCCTAGGGTGGTTGACTATATCTTTTGAACAGTACATACCAGGACATTTATACTTCACATATGTATTCTTTGTGGAAAGACCTTTCATTGGATATACTAAAAACCTTGAACTTTTGACCTTGACTTTCGAGATTTCCATACCGGTACTTATCAAAAAACTTTAACCTTGGCCATTATTTTGAATGGTAAGGAATACTGCTTTAATACTTCACATACATGTATGTAATCCTTGTGAGAAGACCCTTAATTGAATACCAAGAACTCTGACCCTTTGACCTTGGAATTGGACCTACTTTTAAAAAGCAAACCTTGACCATAACTTTTAAAGGTTTAAGGTTAGTGCTCTCATACTTTACATATTTAATCCTTATGACAAGACCTTTCATTTGATAGCAATTAGACCTTTGACCTTGGAGTTTGGCCTACTTTTAAAAAAAATCCTTGGTCATAACTTTTGAAGGGTTAGGGCTTCATGCTTCACATATGTATTCATTATGGAAAGACCTTTCATTGCATACCAACAATCTTGACCTTTTGACCTTTACCTTGGAGATTTCAGTACTTATGGAATAACTTTAGCCTTGGCCTTCTTTTAATTTCACAATTGTATTTCCAGTAAAAATACCCTACTTTTGGTATCACTATATTAAATTTGCATTTAAGAAAAGTTTAATCTTCGCTATACATTACCATACGGGGGCATCAGAGTTTCACTTGAACATATCTTGTTCATTTATGTTATCATGGTCTAACAGAATTTACATAATTTACTGAATTCCTAATTTTCATCAAAACAACAAACCACTCTAATTGCACTAAACTATATTAATTTGAATTCTTCAGTGACTTATGGTAAGAGCTTCCTGAAATGTGAGAAAGCCAAAAAGTACTTCTATAAAGTATCTCTAATTCTTCAGGACTAAAAGGAGCTGAGATACAAACATTCAGATATATCGATGCATAGATCTACATGCACATTCAACTTTTAATTAACTTATTGATTATGTTATAATCAAAGTTTATTATCAAAATAACAAGTTTCACACTTTGCATTGTTTCCCTTATTGTACCTCCATACTTTTCCCTTGTTGTACCTCCATACACAAGTCACGTGGCTTTGTTGACCAATCATATCAGTTTCAGCCATTCTATAAGTGTCCATCAACAGTACCGTTTTGTTTACCTTTTTACAGTTCAATAACTTTATTATCTATCTTTATTTGTGATTACTATGGATTTACGATGACTTATCGAAATTTGCAACAAGATATCTTAATGCTTTGAAGTCTATTTCGTTGGAATATAACATGTTTACATTCTGACTGTGATTTCTGTGGAGTAAACCCAGTGTGCTTACTATAAGGGATCAATTATCGAGGACAATTTATGTTTCATATCTCATATGTACTTTGTTTATTTATTTCATAATGCCTAATATGAAAAGAAATAGATCGAGATCAGCAACAGACGAATAACAAGTTGACCAACCAATGTCTGAGCCGTCTGAAAGTGACACTGTGTTAACTTCCAATATGTTGCGAAACTTAGACAGAAACAATCCATTGAATTGGACTGTTGCAGAATTACGTGAGAAGTTATATGGTTTGGGAATAGCTGTTCATAAGGGATTGTCAGCGACAGTGTTAAGACAGTTATACAATGAAAACAAAAGTCATGTGATTGACAGAACTCGGGAAATAGACTTGGGCGGAAATGACTTAAATGCGGACCCCGTAAACAACAATGGCAAACAACAAGCATTGTTTTCCTCTTTCCAGATGATGGCGCAGTCCTGTACTGCATTACAAAATACTGTAACATCATTACTTCAAACAGACAAAGAGATAGAAGAGGACAACCTGCTACAGAAATTTAATACAGCATTAGGCCTACAGAATACAGTCACTGAAGCTGATAGAAGTGCCTACCAAGTAACGACACCTGCAACAAGTGGAGCCACAGGATATTCAGGTACTCAATCTCAATTTTCTACGTCGCACAATAACATGAGTGTCTCTTCAAAAGAAGTTGGACAAGTCGATTTGGTTTCGACAGATCTACGGAAGAAAATTCTAAGAGGCGATGATGTCAATCTGTGTGCATTGTTAATTCCCTCTTTTGAGATTCAAACGGAGAAAAAAGAGGACAAGCTGGATAAACGTTTGAGTAGAAATTTGACTATCAGTGAATTTGTTACGGCTTTCTGACATTACAAACAAATCATGTGTGCCCCAACAGCATACCCTTGGAGGCAAAATGAACTAGATGGATATTTAGCTCACATAATAGAAGTAAACAACATCTGGCCCACCAAGTTCTTCGAATACCATAAGCTGTTTTCGGCTAAATGTGCCATTACTTTGAAGCAGAGAAACATTTTGATTGACTGGTCAAAGGGAGACGACGAATTACTTAAAAGAGTAGTTGCGGGTGCAGAGGTAAATTCTTGCGACGCTTGCAATTCTATGGCTCATGTCATCTCCATGTGTTTAGAGAATGTAAGCAAGAGTACAGATGATGTGAAGCAAGCAGGAGGGAAACAGTACCATCGAAAAGATAAATATGATCGTCAAATTTTGTACCATGAGGGCGTGCCAATTTGTAATAACTTCAATTACACAAGATGTGCCTTACATTATTGCAGAAGGGCACATGTGTGTTCTTCCTGCATGTCCCCAAAACACGGAAGAAGCAAATGCTCTGAATCAAATGCAGAGAAAACAACATCCAATGTTAAAACAAAGAAAACAACAATTGAACCTAAAATGTGACTAGATAGTGAATTTGAGACTAGTATGAAGGCAACAACTCCCATAAATGTAGAGAGATTACAAGTGAAACTAGCCAATCATCCAGATAAAAACTTTGTTAAATATTTAATAGATGGATTAAGTAATGATTTTGACATATTTATGGGTGATGATCTTAACATTGATAAACCTTTTGAATGCAGAAACCTTAAAACTGCAAGACAGGACCCACATACAGTAGAACAATTAATTGATGCTGAAGTTAAAAAGGATTTTTAGTGGGTCCATTATACACTTTGCCATTTTCAAAATACAGAGCGAGTCCAATAGGAATTGCAACAGGGAAATACTCAGGAAAGAAAAGATTAATTCTTGATCTTTCATCACCACATGAGAACAGTGAAACAGACAGTATAAATGATTTAATAGACAAAGACAAGTGTTCCCTAAGATATGTCAAAGTGGACGATGCTATTAAAAAGATTCAAGAATTAGGAAGAAATGCTATTTTATGCAAAACAGACATAAGTGATGCCTTTAAGCTTATACCCGTGGATCCAACATTATGGCATTTATTATGTATCAAATGGAGAAACCAATATTACTACTTTGTTCGTTTACCATTTGGAAGTCGCAGTTCTCCAAGGATTTTTGACTGTTTATCACAAGCTATATGTTGGATAGCCAAAAACAACTATGGTATTGACAATATGTTTCATATATTAGATGATTTTCTCACTATTGATAAATCCCAGATATGATTGGAGAAAGAACAATGGCTTTGCTTTGTACTCTGTTCAAGCATTTAAATATTCCTCTGTCTATAAAGAAAACAGAAGGACCTACCCAATGCTTGGAGTATTTACGCATTATATTGGACACCAATAAAATGGAAGCAAGACTGCCTTTAGAAAAGGTGGACAGAATTTGTAAATTCATCAAAGACTTTTTGAATTGTCGATCTGTGACTAAAAGACAATTATTGCAGTCGCTTGGTCATTTTAACTTCGCAGCTAGAGTAATTTTACCAGGACGACCTATCACCTCGCAACTGTACACGGATGTCTCGTCCACCATAGGATATGGAGGATATATTTTCATGGACATTGGTTTGCTAAATGCTGGCCACAAGAACTGAATACATGTATGAAACAACCTATCTCCATGGCATTTAGAGAGTTGTATCCGATAGTAGTTGCTGCTTTGCTATGAAGACATTTGTGGGGAAGGAAACAAATTCTATTTCATTATGATTACTCTGCAGTGGTAGAAATAATCAAAAAACATCGCTCATCAGACTTACCAATTTCAAATTTGATGAGAACCCTGTGCTATCGTGCTGCGAAAAACAATTTTGATATTTATAGTGAACATGCACCGGGAATAATCAATGTTATAGCTGATTCTTTATATCGATTACAGATTCAGCGTTTCAGGCAAGCGGCACCTCTGGCCGACCAGACACCGACACCATGCCCGGACATATCTCAAGTAATGTGGAGCTTGAACAAGTAGTGACAGAATTGATGGACAAATCTATTTCAGTGAACACCAGGCCAGGACTGTTTATCAGCAAGGT